TTCCAGTCTCCCCGTTTCTATAGATGGCATCACTGACTCAAGGGACACGAGTTTGAGCAAACTCAGGAGAGTGTGAAGGACAGGGAAGCCTGACATGCTACTGTCCACGGGGTTGCTAAGGGTCAGGCATGACTTAGCAACTAAGCATCAACAACATGCCATTGATTCTAACCATTGAAATAAAGATGGTTTCTTTATTGATTAATGAAGAGTCTAACCGTTGAAAGAAGGCCCCCAAATTAAAGGCATTCAGATGGAAAAGAAAGAAGCAAAACTTTTTATTCACAGATGGTATCATCCTATATGTATAAAATCCTATTGAATGTACACACATACACATCCTCCTAGAACTAGTAAATTTAGCAAGTTTTCGGGATGAAAGATCAATACACAAAAATAAGTTGCTTTTTTTGATATTAGTAATGAACAATTTGAGCATTAGATTTTTTTTTAAATTTCATTTGAAATAGCATCACAAAAGAATAAACACTTCAGAATGAATTTAACAACAAAATGTGCAATATCCATACACTGAAAGCTATCCAACCTTACTGAGAAAAATTAAAGAAGATGTAAATAAATGGAGACATATTCCATGTTTATGGATTGTAAGATTTACTATTGTTAAAATGTTAATCTCCTCAAATTGATCTATAGACTCAATGCAACATCAATTGAAATTCCAACAGGATTTTTGAAGAAACTAACAAGCTGGTCCTAAAATATATGTGGAAATACAAAAGACCTAGCTTTGCCAAAACAATTATGAATAGGGAAAAAAAAAAAGTTGGAGTACCTATACTATCCAGTGTTAAAACTTACTTAAAGATGGCCATCACAGTAAACGAGGCCATGTGATATTGAAGCAAGGATCAGAATACTGACCAATGGAACAAAAGTGAGACTTCAGAAATTAAACCCTCGCATTTACGGTCAATTGATTTTTGACAAAGATGCCAAGACAATTCAACAGGGGAAAGGAAAGGATAGTCTTTACAAAACTGGTGTTTTAGCAACTGAATATTCATATGTTAAAAATTTTAGTTCAGGCCCTTACCACATACCATGTATTAAAATGAACTCAAGGTGAATTACAGACCTAGCTGTGAGACCTGCAATCATAAAACTCCCAGGAGAAACCACAGGAGAAAATCTTTCAGAGTTTGAGTTAGGAAAAAGATATCTTAGGCATGACACCAAAACCACAAGCCAGTTGTTAATCTGGCTATCGTTAAAACTGACATCTTTTGCACTTCAAAAGACACCGTTAAGAAAATGAAAAGTCACCATCTGGGAGAAGATATTCGCTCATCACGTGTCCGACAAAGAACTGGCATCCAGAGTACAGAGACAGCTCTTGCAGCTCAATAAGAAGACAATCTAAACAAACTAAAAGTGACCAGAAGACTTGATGGACATTTTACTAAAGATGGCAGCACAGAGACTTCCCTGGCGGCGTAGTGGGTAAGACTTCACCTTCCAAAGCGGGGGGTGTGGGCTTGATCCCTGGTCAGGGAACTGATATCCCACATGCCTTGAGGCCAAAAAACCAGAACATAAAACAGAAGCAATATTGTAACAAATTTAATAAAGACTTTAAAATGACCCATATTTTTAAAAATAAAAATAAATTTTCTTATTAAAAAAAGGTGGCAATACAAATGACTAATAAGTACATGAAAAGACACTCGAGAGTATTAGTTATTAGGGACAAATTAAAACCATAATGAGATACTATGACACACGTTATAAATGGCTAAAATATTTAAAAATCAGACCAAGTACAGGCAAGGATGTGCAGTAGTCGGAACTCTTCATTCGTTGCTGCTGAATACGTAACATGATACAGTAGCTTTGGAAAATAGTTTGACAGTTTCTTTAAAAGTTAAGCATAACCTTACCATGTGATCCAGCAACTGCACTTCTCAGAAGCTACCCAAGAGAACCGAAAGCACGTGTCCACACAAACACTTGTACATCAGTGTTCACAACGGCTTCATTAATATTAACCCAAACCTGCAAACAGCACAAATGTCCACAGACCACATGTGGTGTATCATGGAGCACCACGTGGAATAAAAAGGAACAAAATACTGAGACACAGTTTAATGCGGTGACCCTCAAAAACGTTATGCTGAGTGAAAGACACAAACATGGAAGACTTGGTATTGCATGATTCCATTTATGCAAATCAACCCTGGGTGTTCCCTGGAAGGACTGATGCTGAAGCTGAAGCTCCAGTACTTTGGCCACTTGATGTGAAAAACTGACTCACTGGAAAAGCACCTGATGCTGGGACTGAAGGCAGGAGGAGAAGGGGACAATAGAGGATGAGGTGGTTGGATGGCATCACCGACGTGATGGACATGAGTTTGAGCAAACTCTGGGCAATGGTGAAGGACAGGGAAGCCTGGCGTGCTGCAGTCCATGGGGTCGCAAGGAGTCAGACATGACTGAGTGACTAAACAACAATTCATACCATAGGAAAGGTAAATCCAGAAAAGGTAAATTCTGGAAATTGCCTGGAGCTACTGCAACAGGCTGGTGGGGTGAACTATGCGGGTGATGGAAATGTTCTGAAACAGGATTGTGGTGGTCAAATTACTAAGAATCACTGAAACTTACACTTGTCATGAACTCTATAGTATGCAAACTATACATTAATAAATCTGTGGGGGGAAAAGATCGAGAAAGTGTCAGAGGGGAAGGGAGGCCGGTGACGTTTACAGAAATCAGTCTCCGGGCAGAGAGGCGGGTGGAGAGGGTGGCATGAGATCTGAAAGCAGATGTGGAATACCCAGGCACGGATCATTTCTGCGTGCCCCAACCTCCCCTCCCTCCTGATACAGCGCTGCAATCCTCCTGGGGAGAACAGCTCCCCCAGGACCGCGACAACTTCTCACTGCCTGCAGGCCCCACCAGCCAATGTCGACCCTAAGGGTTTTAGCAGAGCTCTTGGGAAGTTGTTGCTTCAACTTCTAAGCAGGTAACACTGAAGACTGTTGCTGTTGGACGACGATTTTCCCACCATAGAAGAGGTCAGCACGGAGGAAAGCAGAGCTGAGAGATGGAGGAAAGAGAGAAAGACACTCACGACGTCTTAAGGTCCAGCCACTTCTAAACGTTTCAGCTGAGTCATCGAACTGCTCCCTGTGATTCCATCAGCATCTGCAAGGCTTCCGTCGCTTGTCACAAACAGTCCTAACCCCTGCTCCCTGCACCTGCTTCATCGCCCCATCACGCCCCCTCCATTCTCCCCTCCCTCGTTCATTCTCGCCTCCGACCATGGGGCTTCAAAGTACGCAGGTAGAGGGGGAACCAGCCACTCACCACCTGCAGCTGACCAGGGCCAGTGACTTCCTTCCCTGAGCCTCTGACACCCCCTCTGTAAGTCAGGGCTAGTGACGCTGACCTACACATTTGCCAAAAGGATGAGATGAGGCCCTGATGCCGAGTGCCTGTCACGCAGTGTGTGCTAAGTCGCTCAGTCGTGTCCGACCCTTTGCGACCCCGTGATCTGAGGCCCACCAGGCCCCTCTGACCCTGGGATTCTCCAGGCAAGAACACTGGGGTGGGTTGCCATGCCCTTCTCCAGGATGTCACACAGTAAGTAGGTTTCCCATAAACATATTACTGCTGTTTTCAGATTTTTTTTTTAATATTGACCATTTTTTAAAATGTGTGTTTATTTTTAATTGATTGATGATTGCCTTACAATACTGGTTTGATTTCTGTCCTGCATCAACAGGAATTAACCATGTGTACATACGCCTCTCCCTCCTAAAGCTCCCTCCCACCTCCCACCCATTCCACCCCTCTAGGTTATTACAGAGCCCCAGTGTGGACTATTTTTAAAGTCTTTATTGAATGTGTTAACAATATTACTTCTGGCTTATGTTTTGGTTTTATGGCTCCAAAGACGTTCTTAGTTCCCTGACCGGGGATCAAACCCACACACTCACAATTGGAAGGTGAACTTTCAACGTCTGGACTGCCAGGCAAGTCCCCAGTGTATTACTATTTATTACTATTATTAGCAAAAGCAATTATTAATCATCATTATTATCATAGCATTAGTGGCCCAAGAGGTGGTGTTTGGTACCAGAGCTCCACACAGGACCAACCCTCTGTGCCGTGTCCCGGTGAAGATGTCAGAGTTGACTCTAGGGTCCCTCTGGGATGGCCAGCATCACTGGTTCATGTCCCCCCACAGGTGGGAGCAGTTGGAGAGCAATTAGCTAGGGTTGAGGGCAAGGAGGCTTGGACTCGTCAGCGATAAGCTGTGATCCTCCCAGTCAGCATGTCAGCCAAAGTTCCCAACCTCCAGTGAGCACAAGGATCAGCTGCGAATCTTGTCAGTGCGTGGATTCTGCCCCAGGTGGCCCTGCAGGTTCGGGAGGTCCGGTGTGGGGCCTGAGATTGTTCCTCTAGCCGGCTGCCAGGTCCATGGACCACACGACGAGTAACAAGGGCTCCCAAACACGTGTTTATATTTGGCTTCGTGTTGGAATCACTGCATGAGTGCAGGCGTGCTAAGTCACTCCAGTTGTGTCAGATTCTTTGCTACCCTACGGGCCGTAGCCCGTCAGGCTCCTCTGTCCTTGGGAATCACCTGGGGAACTTATAAAACTGGTGTCTGGTTCTGCCCCGAAAGGGTCTCCTCAGTTGCTCTGGGGTGTGGCCGGGGCCCCTGTATTTGCTAAGGTGTCCTCAGGGGCAAGCGGGGATGGGATCCATGGTCCTAAAGGAACCGCGGTCTCTTTCCCCGCACGTCCTCAGGCGAGAGAGACTTGATTTAAACACCGGAGGGGGAAATTGACTTTTTAAAAATTCTTCTAGTAGTGCCCCCCGCCAACACACACACACAAGAAGGAAATAAGTGACTCATAGCGTGAACCGTCACACACTGAAATATCAACGGAGATGACACATGCAAGTGAAGAAGGAACGCCGCGTCGAGCCTTTAGCCTGGGTAAGATGCCTCGGCGGTCCCGGGGCAGGCGAGGCGCTGGCCGTGAGCTCCGTTCAGGAGACGGAGCAGTGGCATTTCACTTGGGGCGGAGAGAGCGCCTCCCCAAACCGGCACCTCGGCGACACTCCGAGTATGTTCAGGGAGCCTTGAATGTTAATGTATGCACGCTGGAAATGTCTCGTCCCCAGAGAAATGTTATCCCTGGCCCTCTGGGCTTGGAGGGGCCCCTCTGTCTCCGCTTCTGGGGTTCCGACATGGGCCCTGTCGCTCTCCTTCTCGAGACCCTAGAATCCAGCCTCTGTGCGGAGTGCGGTGAGCCGAAGGCCAAGCCTGCCCTCGTCCTTGCCGCAGGCAGAGTGGGGTCGGCCCCCGGGCGAGAGCCACTTCACCTACACTCGGCCGTCACCCCCGTACCGAGCAGAACTGGGAGCAACCGTCCTCAGAGTAACAGGAATCAGTGGGACGGATCAAGAGGGCAGACTCTTCCCAAAACGTCTGCCTGAGACCTGGATCTCCAGAAGCTCGTGAGGAGACCTGTACCTGATGACGGAGATCAGGCCGGTTAAAATAGAGCGTCTTTGCCTTTCATCGGAGTCACTCCGGGGAAGCACTGCTCAGCACGGGATCAGTAAAGTGCTGGCTGCCTGTTGTACGTCTTTTATTAATATTAATAATTTTTAAGTGAGTTCCTTATTTCTTGGTAAACAAAGTCGTTCAAAGTGCACGACGTGTGAGCAACACAGCACAGGGGGCCTTTGGCCTCCGTGCCTCAGTGTGGGTGTCTTCACCCCCAGGATCCCTCTGTCCTTAAACTTCTGTCCACGCCGGGTCTCCCCGAGATGCAGAGCTGAGGGAAAGCTAGCTCATTTCTGTTCTGTACAAGAAAAGCATCTGCGGGCCTTTTCCCCCAAAATGAAAAGGAAGATGTTATCTTGTGATGAACTAGTTTCCAAATTTTATTTAAGTGTTGCTTAAAAAGACCTTCGCGGGAAAAGACGCCAGCCACTTCTGGAGTGGCGTGTTCTGCAGGGTTTCTGGCTCAGGCTGAGAAAGGTGCTGGTAGGGCCCCTGTTGCTACGGAGACGGTGAGGAGGCTCATTATATGGAAATTCCAGGCAGATCGGAACCTGTGCCGGTGAGTCCTCTCAAAAGGGGGAAATTTCGGGAGAGATGGGGAAGCAAATTGGCAGAGAAACTGTGATTGGAGAAATTCAGTCTCAGGGGCTCTTGTTCTCCAGGGAGATGTGGACAGAGGCAATCACATCTCTCTTTCTCTCCCCAGGGCAGTAGTAAATTCTCATCTAAGCTTTTCTTCTCATAAACCAGGGCTCCAGGCGGGGATGTCAGATGGGATAAAAATATTTATGCTAAGAAAGAGTTTGTTTGCCTGAAATCCACATTTAATCTGGAGATCCTCAGTCCAGGGAACCACAGCCTGCCCCCGAGCTTTTTCAAGACCGCACCAACACCCCACCTCCAGTCCCAATGTCTGCTCTCAAATCTTTATGGAGTTAACTCGCACGTGTGTGTGTGTGTGTGTGTGCACAAGCATGAACTGGGAACATGACAGAATGTGAAGCTGAGCAAGGCGTGAAACTGGCCTTGTAAACTGTAAGCATGGCGTGAGTCTGCGTATCCTGTGCCTCATACAGTATAAATCACATTTCAGAAAAGACGAGACAGGTTCTGAAGAATAAAGAGAAACCTGGGACGCTGTCACCTGAAGAAACCGACCTCAGCTAGAGCACATTGCAGTGAGCAGACTCCCACCCCTCTGTCCCCCAGCCCCTTCCCCACCCCTGCACAAAGGCTCTTTGCCACCTTAAGCCCCCAGCCTGAAGCCGCAGCTTTTCTTCAGGTGCTCCGTATCACTCAGCTGATTTCCTGCCGACCAGCCTGGAGCCCGTCCACCCAGGGCAGCGCTCGCACAACTAGGCTCAAGCGCTCTGCCCAGCAGAGCTTGAAGGAGGCCAGAGATGGTCCCCAGCTTCTCAAGCCTGGGTCCCCCTGTGCACTTTACTTCTATTATTATTACGTCAGCTCCGCCTCGGCTCATCAGGCATTAGATCCCAGAGGCTGGGGGCCTCTGAATACTTTAAGGAAAGGCAAGAGAATCCCACTTGGCTGGGCAGATGGGTGGCGCTGAGGAGACAAGGGGTGTGCCGTGACTTCCAGGAGGGAAGCTGATCTAAGTCACTAGTCGCCCAAGACAAAAGCTACAGAGTTCTATCAAAGCCTTAGGTCCATAGCGCAAGGTGAAGCTAGAGACAGAAACGCAAGCCGTGGGTGATCAATGAGCCCAGATTCTGGGAGAACTCAAAACAAGGCGGCGGGCAGGAGGTGGCGCTGGGAGAAGCACGTGGTTCAGCACCGGAAGTCGGTGAACCTGGAGAGAACTCTTACGAGCCTTTTAAACGGAGAGGGTGTGGCCAGATGCAGGGCTGGGTGTGGCGCTTTACCTGCGATGCTGGCTACGTGTCCTGGTGCTTAGACTCCGGACGTTCATCCGTCAGCCTCCTCACTTTGTCCTTTCCCAATTTGGTCTCACACTTTGATTCTCAAGGAGCTCTCAGCTGCCCATGCTCCCGACCCCACCGCCTTCAGCCCCACTCGTCTCTCTAATATAGAACTGAATCATTTCCTTACATTTAGAAAAGAAACGCCCTCTAGAGAAATGCCCCCTTCCTCCCCACCCCCACCCGTTCTGAGTAATAAATCTAGAAGATAAAAACTAAGGCCATCAAAATAAAGCCACTTTCTGATGAGCTCTGACTTGGGGAAGCTAAATATTTATGGATAGAAGGGCACAGGGGAAATCCCCTTGGAGGAAATGATTTCTAAAGTTTGCTGTCTACTTATGGCCTTAAAAGTTTTCCATTTCTCAAGTTGCAGGAGAAGATCAATCGTGGGGAGGTAAAAATTTGTTTTGGAAAAGTCGTGAAAAATGTCTTTGCTCTGACATGAAGTAACAGAGTTTTGTCTCATGTTCCTGGCGGACATGGTGAGGAAGATGGGGCTAAGATAAAAGACGGATGGTTGTGGTGGCTTGTGTTGCTGACACATAGTCTTAAAGATGATAATCAGCGCGCCTGGGAGAGCTCAAGGGAAGAAGGCTACGTGGGTGGAATGAACACGTATGATCTATAAATAGGACACATGCTTGGGAAGCCGTTCTCTTATCTGGAGGCAGGCTTGCGTCTGCTCCTTCATTGATTCTCTGCACGTTAATGGTGTTGCTGGAGCTTCTATTAATCTAATGACTCTGCTTTGGAATAATAATGCTTTTCTCCCGGCCTGTCTCTCCCATTTGACGGACAGCTTGGATTCATCAGAGAAAGGGCCCGAGAGCTACATCAGTCATTATTAAATAGAAATCGATGGAGGCTGTTCCGTGAAGGAAGCCATGGGTCCGTGATAGGCGGCCACGTGTTACCTCTCAGCTCCCAGGTTCGGTCCAGCTCCCGAGCACCAGGGCCCGGTGAGGCCACGCTGGGCCTCTGGGGCCTGGAAACCTGTGCGTGGACATTGGAAGTTAGTCCTGCTAGGAGGACAACTGGGAAGGGATGCAACATCACTGATGCCCCCGGCGGGGAGCATGTGGACAGCCCTGGTTCTGGGCTCCCCAGGTGGGCAGAAAGCAGCCTGAATCCTCAGCTCCAGGCTGCTCGGTGCCCACCACACAGCCCACACACCCACTCTGAACCAGCGCAATGCGAAAGACTACTTGGACCCCCAAAGGGAAGGAAAACCCGGAACTGTGGCTCGTCTGAGGGTCTAACGGCAGGGGTCCCAGGTTCCTGCAGAGTCAGAGTCACTGGCCGCCAGCTGGGCTGGTTCCTCCTCCCCACACCTTCCTCTGCTCTTCTGTGGTCACGGCCCCAGCTCCCTCCCGGCACAGTCAGGGGAGGGGTCCTTCCCCGACGCCGATGACCAGAGAGGCGCTCATAACTGTATGTCCCCCCGTGTGCCAGCGAGCTCCCCAAGAACTGGAGGAAGGCGTTGCCTTCCAAAGGCACAGGTGTCCCCAGCTCCGCTCCGTGTTGTTGGTCCAGCGGTGGCACCAGGCCTTGGGCAGGCTTGCCCGTTCCTACTCAGACAGGTGGCGTGTATGCGTGCCTAGTTGCTCAGTCATGTCTGACTCTTTGCAACTCTGGACTGTAGCCCACCAGGCTCCTCTGTCCATGGGATTCTCCAGGCAGGAATACTGGAGTGGGTTGCCGTTTCCTTCTCCAGGGGATCTTCCCAACCCAGGGATCAAACCCACATCTCTTGCATTGCAGGCGGATTCTTTACTATCTGAGCCGCCAGGGAAGCTGCCAATGAGTATGTATGATCCCTGCAGAAATGGATGGTGGGCTACAGTCCATGGGGTCACAATTCCCAGCCTGCCACTATGACCTCCGTTTCCAGGACAGGAAAGAGACTTACGGAAATGAAGTAGCTTGAGCAAGCTGGCATAGAGAGCATCACAGCCACTGCTCAGCCCACGTCCGTGGAGTGTGACGCTCGTGTCTGCCTCCACCACAGCGGTGCCCCCATCATTCCTATAGTTCAGGTCCCCTCCCTCTGCTGGCCCAGGGCTGACTTCTGTCCTCCACACCACAGAGCAAAGCCCCCGTCTTCATCTGGCCTTTATGCCTGAACCAGCCCAGAGCTGTGGTCACTCTGGTCAGGACACAGATCTGAGTGATGGACCCCTCGCCTCTGCCCTGTCGCCCCACCACCCTTGGTTCAGAGGGTGTATGTCCCTCGTGCATCAGGCACAGGCTTGGCGGCTGCAGATGAAACAACCTCCTCTTGGTCAAAAGGTTTGCTTCCCCTGAAAACTGTGCCGGAGCCCGACCACATTGGTGCCGGGGTTCCCATGAGCACTAGGGCTGATGAGAGCCTGGGCACAGGGCTGGGCAGAGGCTGCTGGAGGAGGCAGTGGACTGGGGGCGTGGGGGCCGTGGTCTTGGCTCATTCAGATAAAGCAAGTCCTCCCCTGAGGAGAGATGGGGGTTTAGGGATACCAGCCTGAGCTGGGGAAACCTCCTGCTTGTAAAACTCAAGGCTCCCACCATAACACCTAACTAATTAGCCAGTGGTTCTGTGTAAATGTGCCTTTTAAATTCGAAAGACCAAACTCTT